TCAACATGATTATTGTAGAATTCGTACCAATACCCTTCTAAATTATTCAATCTTCGATTGATATAGTCAGGCGTCTTTCTCTCTTGAACATATTTCTTCAAATTTACAAATATTTGATTCATGCTATCTATAACTTGTTGTTGATTTGCTAGGAGATTTTCCAGGCTTCACATTACTTGGTAAAGTAGTTGATACATTAAGCATGTAATCTCTAAAGTCTAAAGTCTCATATAAACTTGATCAAGGTCTGACCAAAGTTTTTGAGTTATTCTTAATATTTTTATTGATGTGGCTTGTATAAAATTTTTCATGTAGTCCGGACCAGAAGTATTCCACAAACACGTTTTTCACATATTTTCTCGATCTAGCAATTAGATTTTTATTTTTGATTTTTGCCTTTGTTTTTTTAATTTAAAATCAAATATAAATCTTTAATGAGATATTAAGCTATTTTTATTAATAATATAATGATAAAAATTTTTGAGCCTCGATAACTCTCGAGGTTGTTCCAAGGATCATTGTAGATCATCGTAATCATTGAATGTTTCGTTGTCCAATTTTTGTGACAGTAAGTGCACCAGCAATGGATCCCACGTACTGATATTAACACCTAAGTGTGTCACGGCGTTGAGCATCTCCAGAGTAGTGTCATGAGGTCGCTTTTTCTGGTTTATAGCTTGATGTTGCTGTATGACAGGAATATTCAATACTCGTAAGCTGTTGATGTGCGAAGTAAAATGCATTTCAGTGCTTATCGAAAGATGCTGCAAAAGCCATGCTGCTTCGCCTTGCATCTTAAATTTAATAAATTGCGTTTGATCATGATGGGTTTTTTTATGGATAGTTACAGTGAACAGATCCTTGAATGATGTCCGTTGATGATAATTTCCTACAAAAATAGGTCTATGTCCATCTGAGTGGTTGATTTTTCCCGATGGGATACTAACCACAGCTTGCTGTGGATTGATCGTTGGTGGTATTATATAGTTGTTCATAATATGAAAAAGTGCTTTCATAGTTTTGTTCGACACCCCTGGACATCACTGTTGATATCACAGTGCAGTCGTCCGGACTAGAAGTATTCCACAAACACGTTTTTCACATATTTTCTCGATCTAGCAATTAGATTTTTATTTTTGATTTTTGCGTTTGTTTTTTTAATTTAAAATCAAATATAAATCTTTAGTGAGATATTAAGCTATTTTTATTAATAATATAATGATAAAACGTAATAAAATGTTTTATTTATTTCATTTACCATGTCGTGAAAATGTGCGTAAAGATCTAAATTGATTGACGAAACGAACGCACGCATTGTTACTACTTATATAAAATTACAAATCTGTTGTACGGCCAGTATCCACACGATCTAGCATGCTTGATGCTTGATGCTTTGACGTACGTTCGGTCTATTCTATAAAGAGCTATAAAGCTATCAGCACGACACGAAAAGTAGTGGGGAGTTTACTGGATACAAAATTCATTCAGTGCGTTCAGCAAGCAATTAATAATAATTATTGACGTACGTCAAGCCTACTCAATGTCGTTTTCCGTCGTGCATCGTGTATGACCTTGAGCGGACGTACGTCAAGATGAACCGTGTATAAGACGTTTTATTCTGGTATGGGATTGGATTGACAACAACTGCTTTCGCTGAGCTACGGCAAATAGACGATCAATGGCGGGAATTGCCGAAACTATATAAGATTTAAATACAAGCCAGCAACTTGATGTATTTTAGTATAAGGTAAAAAGCATTATTATCAATTACAAGTTTTGAACTTTCTATACGTTTTTTTTTTCTTATTACATACAATACAGGTGAATCAGCTTGAAAAGTTTAGTTTGGTTGCCCAGTTCATACTGAAGATTTTGGCTCTTCCATATTCTAATGCCGAGTATGAAATAGTGTACAGGCAAATAAATCAAAAAACTGAGGAGAGAAACAGATTAATTACTGAAACAAACTGCCCTTAAGAGGAGCATTACAAAAAAACGCTAAATTACAAGGTTTCCTCGTTGAAATTATATATTTTCCTAACAACCTTGAAATAACAATTACTTGGTAAAAATAGGTCGTTTTCTCTACTACAATAAGCTCAAGGCAAATTTTAGATAACTTATTCATTTATTTAATAATAATAATAATTCTCAATATGCATGTTTAGGCCAAAACACTGAGAGACATGATTTGGGAGCACTATTTTGTAGATTCTATTGAATATCGACCATCGAAAATAATATTTTTAAGTCACAAATAGCCTATAAAGTCACCCGGGGCTATTGTAGCTACTAAAACTTATGTTAAACTTTTAACTTTAATTTTTTCTACTCATCAGTACTGCATTGTTAAATTTTAGGAATTTTTTTTCATAAAACAAGTATTAAGGATTTTATAAAATAAATTAGATTGATTTTAAATCAATAAGTTATTTTTAAATTCAACGAATTGCACGTAGAGGCAGTGAATAGTCGTTTACCCCCGGTTGGGGTAAATGTAGTCACTCTTTATAAAACCTTTGTTTTTGAATCTATAAAAGTCGAAGTAAGTGGAGAAGGTTGCTTCTAAATAAAGTCAACTGATTTTGTATCTTGGTACTTTTTACTAGCGTTCAATTTCATTTAAAATTACTAAAACTATTTCTTCGGGGGTAAATGTAGCTATCCTTCATAATGTTAGTGTTGGGATAGAATCTCGATAACATTAACGATGAATTTATTTTATATTCAAATTCAAATTAATAGTAGGTAATTAGTAGAGAAATAAAATAACAATTCTCACGTTCTGATAATATTCAGAATTGCTGTTTTTATTAGCTTGTCATCATCTCTACTCCGGTTAATGTCAATAGAAACTTTTTTTTCATATAACACGTCATTTTGAAAAAAACTTCAACTTCCCACACAAAATCGGCAGCTAGATCAGAAAATTTGTAAAAAGTCGAGAAAAAAAATGGATATCCGATCAGATCAACCATATAAAAAGTTGCTGGTGTTTTATGATTTATTCATTCATTTTACAAATGACTCTGTATTCAGTCGGTCACACATCAAGTGTCAGTTGCATTTCGAAAACTCGCTATCTTTTACCTACGATCAAGATTAAACTATTATATACGTGTGTTGTGATAAAAATTGTGTTTGATAAAAAATAACAAAATCAAAAATGAAACAAGTATATGACGAGTAATTACTTCTAACGTTTATTAAGAAACAATATTTTAAATTAATCACAAAAGTTAGGCACAAAAACATCTTTCATATATTTTTCAAATATACTGCATTCCATCCATCCTTTCTTGCTGACAGCATATGCCGTTTTCACTTTTTCGTTGGGGTAAAACCACTCATTCCATAAATATTTTCCTTGGAAAACGATAGGGGGCGGTACTTTATCACCATTTGCATTGGCCGTTGCGTTGCGTTGCGTAAATCGGATCAAAAATTAATATTCAAAAACTGAAAGTCCCCTCGTGATCATAGGTGCTGAAAACCACCCGAAACGTCGGGGTAATAAGAATAAATTAAAGTAATTAAACGCGATAAAATCCGTAAATAATAGTTTTATTCAACAGTTGTATTGGTTCTGCCTGGTGAACTGGTAGTTCTGGTACAACGTTCACCAACTTTTTCAACCACTTTGCTTTTCCTTGGCCAAGACAAAAACTAGTCTCGTCTAAGTTATACGATCGGGTGCGGAAGTTAAATTCAAATCTTGAATTTCTTTTTCGAGTACATCAAATTACTCATATACCGTAAAGGGATTACACGCCTTTCTTCTCGCAACTTCCACCGAGTGCAGTTTTTTAAAGAGAAATTGTGTCTTCTCCTGAAACCACGAAACCAGTCATCGCCTGGTATATCATTCTTAAATATTGTCACGATACCATTTCTTCTAATATATTCGCTAATCAGTGACAACACTTCTTTGCGAGTTAAAGGGTAGCCACATTTTTCCATTACGCCAAGACAGTTTGCCATTCTCAGCTCTATGTCTTTACTAAAAACCGTGGTTCTTCCATGTGTAGATTTTTTTATTCCACGTGTTCCGGTTACATGCGCATAAATCGTGGCTTTGGGAACATTGAACTTTTCTGCAGTCAATAATTCTTCGACTGCTTTTAAAAGATTTACTCTTGTGTAGGGTATTCCTTTTTCTTCGTTTGTACTTCCGAACCATCTAAAACATAAGATAACCTACATTAATATACTTTATACATAATTTTTGAGTGATATTAAATGACTTTAAAAAATTGTCAATTCGACGCGTTATGTAATTAATGTAAATTTCAGCTGATATAAAATGTGTTTGGTAAGTTTGAAACTTCATAAATAATATGAACTTATTTTGTATGAAAGAGTAAAAAAAAAACGTTGTGGCTCAGGACCGTGCTTTGTGGCATACCTTGGGGGAGGCCTATGTTCAGCAGTGGACTTGTGAAGGGCCGTAATGATGATGATGATGATGATGCGCTATATTAACCACCATTAACTCATATACAGGAGTTTTGCGGGAACTTGGCCGTAGACGGTTTGTTGCTCCTGTTTTGTCGCTTGAATAATGGTTTGAAATGGATTTTGATTCGTAAAAGTGATGCGATTTTGTGAATGCGCGTGTGAAATATTAGAGAAAACGACGAAACAAGTGCTTTGATGTCGATATAAACCTCAAGTTATTTTGATCGCTTGGGTGCCTTATGAACTTGAGTAGCTATCGTCATCAACTGTCCGCTAGGTTGAGCTGTCGTTAAAATCTCCCAAGGGCTTCACAATGTGACGCATCAGCATATTGTGAAGAAAAAGAATATAGAAATGATGATTCCGAAAGAAATGATAGGCTCAGAAGGGCTAGAACCCAGAGCCGTAAAGCCAGTTAATAAAAAAACTCAGATACACTAGTCAGTAGTCACTAGTCAGATAAATAAATAATAAAAATATATTTGATACATAAATAAATAATTGATTTGTAACAGAATAACAGATGAATTTTTGATTTGATAATGTTTCCAACGAATCATAAGACAATATTCGTCTTAGATCATACCCCTTATTTTGGTATTTCATCGGATAATCCTATAGATTTTGATGTTTCTAAGAGTCGAGGTCCAGGTTATGTTCCTTTGCCGCCAGTTTGTAAATCTTTGTGGACTTGTAGTGTAGAAGCAGCTGTTGAGTATTGCAGAATAGTTTGGGATTTATTTCCTGAAGGGAAATTGGTAACTATACAGTATTTTATAAATTTGTAACTTATGTACTTATAAAATACTTTACACTTATTTGATTTACATTCCAGATTCGTTTTGTTGTCAGTGATTCGGCAGCCCATATCTTGAATACTTGGGCAGTAGCACAGCAAAATTTAACACACGTAAGTTTTAAATTCAAGTTGTTAATAAAAAAAATGGTTTCAATCTAATGTTTATGCATACATAGACAAAAAAATGGGAGCCCCATGAAGTATGGTGCATATTAAAAACAACAAGAATGATCATAAGAGTAGGGATGGAGGATATAATTCTCGTGAGTTCTCATAAGATATTTAAACTAGGTTCAGGGATGTAAACAGAAAGGAAAGAAATGTTATGAGCTCTAACTGCCATAGCATTAATTGAAGAACTATGAGAAGGAAGGGAAATTAATGTATAAGTAACTGATCTTGCAATAGGAATGAAAGAGCCAGCATGACCATCATTCCTATCATCCCTGAGGCATGTATAACCTGGGGCCCTAAAATGGGACCCAGGCTTTAGCCATGTCTGGATGGCTACGATGAGGGTATGGTATTCGTTAATTAGACAATTGTCTCCCGGGACATTGCAAGTTTGATAGATTTCTGCCTAGAATGTTCAGGGCACGAAGGATCTTTAGCTGTGTGAGATCCTGAACATAAAAGGCAAGTAGGTCTTGTGCATGATATTCCTTCATGATTTTGAGCACACACAAAACAATGGGAAGATGACCTACACTGTGAAGTAACATGTCCAAATTGACAACATTTGTGGCATTGAATAAGTGGTAAAATAAAGGGCTCAACAGGCATTGAAGTGAAAAAGCAATAAATGTTAGAAGGAGGTTTCTGGCGAGAAAAAGTTCAAACAACTGTTTGAGAGGGAATCCACACAGTGCTATGGTTTTCATTAACTGATTTTCTATTAAATAGGCGAGCTTTAATGATTGAGCCAAAACTAGCTGGGACCTTAATTGATGAAATTAATTCCTCTAATGTCCACTCCACAAGGACCTGTCTCACTATTCCCATGCTAGTGATATTATAAGAGGAAATTACAGTATCATATTTAGCACCCACAACAGCAGGGTTCTCAATAAAACAATTTGTGTCGGCTGCACTTTTAAATTCAACTGAGATTCTATTGTGCCCTATTAACTTAACACTGGTACTAAAAACATTTTTAATATTATTATGGTAGAGAAAATGACCAAACTTTACCGGTTTTAAAACTACTCCAATTGATAAATCATCTACTATCTTACTAACTTGTAAAATAAAGTTTGCATTGTCATCATTAGAGTATTTATGTTTTTTTTCTATGAAGTCAGGATGAATATAAGAGGACTGAATAGATGGTACAGGTTGAGATGGTTCTGTAATTAATCTTTTCTGAGGATGAACTGAATTATTGGATTCCTGTGGTCTTTTACGATTCAATTGTTTGATTTCATTTGTTTTTTTTTTTGGGAACAGTATGGGAGGCACATGGAACGCTGTCGGGATTGGGAGGATCTTCCTCCATTTTATTATAACTAATTACATATAAAACAACACACTTACTAAATACTTACGGATTTATAATTACTAAAACCAACACAAAGAAAAAACAAAAAAAAGTAAATCAGGCGATCTTAGAAACATGAAATAGTCAAAAACAGAATGATGCTTGTATACCTCACCGACGAACATAATAAAAGTAAAATATGAACTGCAGTAATTTAGTCAAAAATTTATCACTATTGATTTTGAAAGGAACAAAACTCAATATATATTAAATTCTGAATAATTTCCTGCTTTAGCCAAAAATCAACCTGCTCATTTGAGAAAATACAAGCCATATTATTTGAATAATAAATATTATTTTTCACATAGTATGTGTATGGTGATGTTTGAGGTTTGAAGTTTCTAGAGATGTAGGGTATGTTCCGAAATACAACGCAGTGTACTGTCCAATGCAAATAATGTCATGAATCGACGCTATACTGGTGATTCGTTCCAAAAATTGGACAGTATATGACATACTTTTGCGCCATTTGGAAAAGTGTTGGCGATTATTTTGTCATTTTGTGCTCCAAAAATCATTATATCTTCCTAATGGATATACCATCAATTATTCTATAATTTTTTGTATTTGAATAAATAGAAACAAATTCTGGCATGCTTCATTCGGCAAACACACAATTAAAAATTGTTTTATTATGGCCGGATATCCGACACAATATGGCGGAGGCATGCTAGTACTATAATATACCCGTAGTGATGATAAATGTCTCAATTTATAACACTATTTGTTTCTTTTTTGTACAATTTTTCTTATTTTTTAAACTTGTTAAATGATAAATTTTGTACATTTTCTGGGATTTTGTTGTATAAGTTTATACATTGTCCGATAAATAAATTACTAATTCTGTGGAGTCTAATAACTTGTATTACAAGCTTATGTTTGTTCCTGGTATGTAAAGTATGAACATCTTTATTCTTATAAAAGCTATTTATGGTTTTATGTTAATATATTTCTTTAAATTTTTCTGTTTCTTGGACTTTACAATTTAAGTTATAAATTGCCTGTACTGCTTTCTTTTGCAAAACAAATATGACTTCAATGTCGGTTGCATTACCTCATAGCAAGATTTCATAAGACATTACGCTATGAAAGTAACTAAGATAACTGTCTCAACATTGGTGAGACTTCTAATCTTTCTTACTGCATAAGCTGCAGAACTAAGTCTGCCTGCTTATTTAAATATATGTTATCCCCATTAAAGTCTGCAGCTAAAATCCTATGCCAAACTTACTTGTATATGCAGATATATTTGTATGAGCAGATAATATTGTCACCATCTCTTAATATATGTCGGTGCTTACAGATATTTAATGATAAAATGTAAATCATCTGCACTATGTATGTAGTAGTCTTTCATTGAATTTCGTAGAGAATGATAGTGAAAGATATGGACTCAGCTACAGATTTCTTATCGTATCTGTTAAACGTGTGACACGCTTTAGGCTGTTGAGAAGATAATTACTGTCGGAATTATCATTCATTTTTTACAGGTAAGTTTAGCTTGTTGTTTGTGCCTGTAAACAGATTTTTAGCTCCAAATTATACAAATGAAACAAACTGAAGACTTAGTTATGAAGTTTTTATGTGGTAGAGCCACGCTGCAGCTATATTATAGTTGTAGAACGCATAGGTTGGCTCGACCGGAGTAGGACTACGCTCTCACTCAATACCAGTGTAAAATAAAAGCTTAATGCTGCTGTGTTTTGTTAGGTGAATGTAGAAAACTGGAGACCATTTTTATTGGAATCGAGGCATTCCATCTTAGTCCTTAGGGGTGACAACACGTCTGCATTTAGATTCGTAATTGAGGATAAATGTGGATGTCGTTGTGCCACAGCATCCACTTACCATCAGGTGGACTGTGTGCTCAATTGTCACCCAATTCTATTAAAAAACTGTTTCACAGGGACAGGAGGGAAATAACGAAATACCAAAAAGATATTTCGTTATTTTTAATCTATATTTTTAATAAGTATTGTTTTGTGCGTTTTAATAAATTATAATATACCTAATATGTTATTTATTAGATCCTTAATGGCCTCTGTTTGGTGGGACCAGTACGACGAGGGGCAGGTGGTGACGTGGTCGGCTTATGTGCTGCCATTGAAGCTCTCGGTGAGCCCTCACCAGCTCAGTCATCAAGACCTACTACCGAGCGACATTTTCAAAATCGGTATGTATTCTTAGTTTTACTATATATCATATTTATCATCAACGCTTAACTCTACATCTGGACACGTAATTTCATCAAATGCTTGTCGTTGGTGTTTCTATAGAATAATATTTGTCGTGCTGCTTGAAGGATAAGCCAAGAAATCAAACCGACTTATACAACATCTCATCAATATACATAATTTAAAATTATTGCAATCTCATTATGTCGACGTATTTGATATAGCATAAAAGCTTTCACCTGACGACAGTAAATGGTACAAAACCCATTACATTCGATTCGTTCCATTCTTCAGTTCTGATATATATTGAATAAAAATGATTATATTCTATGCTATTCTAAGAAATATGTGGATAAGGAGGTGATATAAATATTTGGTATAAAGGTGATGAACTTTCTTACACAGTGACATGCTAATATTATATAATTTACATAATCAGAATAGTAATATCATTTTAAGGAAAAGCATTTTAATATCAGTTTTATGATCTCTGGTAGCGCAGGGGCCAGGCCTTTAAATGTTCGCGAGGAACCTAAATTCGATCGAATCTTTGTTGTTGTATAATAATCATTGTATCGAAATTATGCGATTTCTTGTTTTATTTGATTTTTTTTTATAGAATAAGGGTGTCAAACGAGCACACAGTCCACCTGACAGTAAGTGGAAGCTGTGGCCCATAGACATCTACATTTATCCTAAATTAAGAATCAAAACGCAGATGCGTTGTCACCCCTGAGGACTAAGATGGAATGCTTAGGTTTCAGTAAAAAGGATGGATGACCATACGAAACGCAGCAGTATTAAGCTGCTATTTTACGCTGCTATTCTGTGAGAGCGTGGTTCTTCCCCGATCGAGCCGACCCATTCGTGCTACAACCATGATATCATTGGTATGGATGGTAGCATTGTGGCTTTACCACATATAAAATTGATTACTTGTTGTGTTAAAATTGTGCATTTACTTCTTGTTTCATATAATTACTTTTTGTATAGAAATTATGGAACCACTTGTTTTATATAATTGTTGTATGAAAATTATACAATCACTTGTACAATTTTTTTAATAGTATAAGGGTGACAAAGGAGTACACAGCCCACCTGATGTTAAGTGAAAGCTGTGGCCCATAGACATCTACATTTATCTTCAATTAGAAATCAAAATGCAGATGCGTTGCCAGCCCTGAAGACTGAGATGGAATGCCTCGTTTCCAGTAAAAAGTGTCTCCGGATCTCTACACTCACCATACGAAACACAGCAGTATTACGTTGCTATTTTACGCTTGTGTTCTGTGAGAGCGTGGTCCTACCCCAGTCGAGCCAACCCATTCGTGCTACAACCATAATATAGCTGCAGCGTGGCTCTACCACGTAAAAATTTTATTATATAATTACTTGTATGCAAGCTATGCAATTAATTGTTGTTTTAGTGGCCGCATTATATGTATTACAAGTGCAAGGGACGACGACTCCATCAGAAGCTTAGCAGAGATTGCACTTAATGCACTTGTGCAGCAAAATAAAAAGGCATCACTTGTTCAACCTTCATCAAGTACTGAAGCATCTGCGAACCCCGAGTATGTATTAAATGTCTTTAGCATCTACATTTACATAGGGTGCGTTTGGCAGAAAAAAGCGCTAGCAAGCGCTTGTAAGCAAAATGGCGAAACTAAACAGTTTTCGGCCAGGACACGTTTGCTAACTTCAGTAGCGTTGACACAATCCGCCATTTTGCTTATTTAGTTTGTTTGTTTTGAAGTAGAGTTTATAAGTTGTTTTGTGCAATATTAGTTTTAAGTAATATAATGACATGAATAAACATATACATGTTATTAAAAATTCATGTATGGTAAGTTTTTAATATGAATACTTTACAACCATATATTTAAATTAGGTTAGGTTCCCCGGTTAAAACTAACATCGTGTCCTAGAAGAAAATAGCTACTTACGATTTGACAGCGCTTACCACTTACGATCGCCATTTTGGTTACAAGCGCTTTTTTCTCCCAAACGCAGCCATAGACTAGACTAGATTATTATACTACTGCATATGGATTGGGTCATTGAACAAACAAAATGGCACCGAATCATTGGTGTTAAAATGTTTATGGAGCGCCAACGCGAGCTCATATAGGTGTCGTGCATCAGTGCAGTGTTTCCGCTTTCAGATATTTTGCACTACTTTAGGGTAAATCTATTAATATAGGCAGGGCTTTAGGCGTTTCTTCAAGTTGACAGGGTTTTGGATAATTTGGGGTGAAATCGAACTTCATGTTTTCTATACTCACCCAATGTAATTTTTTAAGTTTTGTCGAAGGGGATAGGGTCAAAAGTGTACAATGAAAAAGTTTTTGATTCTGTATATCGGAATAATGGGTGCGTTTGGCAGAAAAAAGCGCTAGCAAGCGCTTGTAAGCAAAATGGCGATCGTAAGCGGTAAGCGCTGTCAAATCGTAAGTAGCTATTTTCCTCTAGGACACGCGGTTAGTTTTAACCGGGGAACCTAACCTAATTTAAATATATGTTTGTAACATATTCATATTCAAAACTTACCAATTATGAATTTTTAATAACATGTATAATATGTTTATTCATGTCATTATATTACTTAAAACTAATATTGCTCAAAACAACTTATAAACTCTACTTCAAAAGAAACAAATTAAATAAGCAAAATGGCGGATTGTGTCAGCGCTACTGAAGTAGCAATCGTGTCCTGGCCGAAAACTATTTCAGCGCTTGTAAGCGCTTGCTAGCGCTTTTTTCTGCCAAACGTACCCAATGATATAGTATTTTACTTAATTACGTGTACATATTCATTATTCGTATGAGACTAAGTGTTATTATAATTTGAAAATGAGAATGTCTTCAAGAGTTTTAATCGTGAATTTGTATTCAAAAATTGCAATGATGTTGTTCTTTAAAATATTGAAAATTAGATGCAATAAATAAGACTATTCAGATTTTTTTTACGATAATTTAGAGAGTATTTCTACAGGTTCTAGGGTAAAAGCAAAATCATAAGTGAAAACACTGGTTTTGTGGTAGTTCATGAGTATTTAAAAGGTGGTGCTGATTTATTCTATGCTTAATCTGAAATTTTTTTATTCGCACGATCATATCTTGTCATTTATATCGATGTACAATTAGATGTAGATGTAGAATGGTTTCGTAACACTCTTTCGTAACTATTTTACGCTGACGACTACGAGGGTTGGTGATACTGTTTTCAAAACCCTGCTGAAGTAGAAACCTGTAGATATAGGGAGGGGCACTCTCCTTTTTCCCGGGTATAGGAAGGTAGTTGTAGTTTGGGACTACCTCAATGTAATGTTTACACTAAAGTAAAGTAAAGTACAGCTCTGTAGGCGGCACAGGCCTCCCCTCATTTCTGAGAGGGTTTTAGTCTTCGAAATATTTTTTTTCTTATTCATGACATGCAGGTTTCCTCACGATGTTTTCCTTCACCGTCGAGCACGTGGTAAATCAGCACTTAAAATTGCATTTAACAATTTCATTGATGCCGGCGGGGATCGAACCCGGGTTGCACGCGTTCTGTTATATTTACAGCGAACGTTAACCATCTGAGCTACCACAGCTCTTACAATCAATGTTTACACTAGTATCATTATAATGCCTATGTTCCTAAATGGAACTCAGTGTACTGGCGAATGGTATTATATACTATTGCCAAAATCGACCTGGAAGATATCATCATTCACATGGAGGAAGAGTACGAATTCCGCCGGTACCAATAAAATTGTCAATTTTGAGTACTGTTAAACCGCATGCTCAGGAATGAAGTAATATATCATGGCAAAAACACGCTTTTCTAAGAAATTAAAATATTAATCTAAGAAATTAACATGTGAAGTTCGCCAACAACACGCATTGAGGCAGCTTGGTGGACTTTTTTTCTGACCCAAATTCCTCTTAGCCATGGAAAGATGCTTGTTATAAATATTTTTACCCTACGTTAATATTTATAACAGGCCTTTTACAAAAATATCAAATACCCTAAAAGATTAATTTTTCAGTTCTCCCGAGAGAGAAACATATTTGTTGTATCCAATATTCATTACGTTTTATTTGTTTTTTCCAGATCCTTGGTAGTTCATCACTGTCATCTGGTGATAGTTAACGTAACACCAGAAAAAGCAGAAACAAGAGTCAACAACCAGCCCCTCACGGAGGTATAATTGCTATTTTGTTTTTGTTCTTATGATTTCTGTTAAGGTGTTAATCGGCGGTAAGTACCTTTTGTGGCCATGTAGGCCACTTCCTCATAGCATTCCGTGGGTGTTATCAGAGGCGACAGAGTAAAACAAACCAGGACATGAGCAGTAGCGTCTCCCTCATAGAATACATAATAGAACGGGGGAATGTGCGGAGCCCGCGTAGCCACTAAAATGTCACAAATACGTCAATTCACACATATAAATGTCAACACGAAATGTGTTTTGACGTGACAATCGTTTCCAATTTCACAATCAAATACAATCGTTTTCAATTCATCAGAGCACACAAGTTTAAAAAAAACTTGTGTGCTCTGATGATCCTGGTAATTATTTTATCCTGTGGTCCCGATCAGGATAGTACTAGGATATAGTTATTAAATTATTGTATTGTTATCGAACCTTGATACTGTATAAATTTTCAAGTCAGTTGGTCATCTAAAAGTTGGTTAAAATTACTTTAATAGATTAATAGTTTGTAATATTTATGGTGGTCATATGTGATCGTCTTCATTAGAAACTTTATTTACGTCGTGTTTGTTTAGCAACTTAGTTTTTTTAGGTGTCTTTTGGAAAGAATGAATATGTACATTAGAGCAATCTAAAGCCGTTGGTAGTGTCTTATATTATTTTAAGCTAAAGAACCCCATTCACGAAGATAGGTCAAGAACATTAAATCATCCCTATTCCACTTGTATCAGGTTCACATCAATCAATTTATTATTAATGAGTCCCTTTCCGTTAGGATGCGCCCTTTATATGTGGTAGAACCATGCTGCAGTTATATTAGTAATATAGTTATAGCACGAATGGGTCGGCTCGACCGGGCAAGGGCCACGCTCTCACAGAATACCGGCATAAAATAGTAGCTGAATGTTGCTGTATTTCGTATGGTAAATATAGAGAACCGGAGACCCTTTTTACTGGAAACGAGGCATTCCATCTTAGTCCTCACGCGTGACAACGCATTCGCATTTTGATTCGTAATCGAGGATAGATGTAGATGTCTATGGGCCACAACAACCACTTACCATCAGATGGACTGTGTGCTCGTTTTTCACCCTATCCTATAAAAAAAAGGAAAAGGCTCACAATATTTATATAAGAGTATACGATACAAGGGCTTCGCTCTCCCACATTTAAAAAAAAAGTGAGGGAGGCACACAGCTCCACGCCGTGTGCGGTGAGTGCCAACTAACCAACGTGCTCCCCTCGAAGGGAACAAGAAGGGGAATAAGTTGGAAACTGGACCATAGTCCACATTAAAATAACTGGCGAACCAGTAAAAGAGGGCTTGGCCCCTTTGTATTGCGTAAGCACATACATCGACCGAAGTCGCGTGTATCAATGCGTGTAAACGCCATATAGAATACGATCAAATCCAGTCACAGTGCATGTACTTCACACAGTTTTTTTTATGTAGAAGAGGGGGCAAACGAGCATACGGTTCACCTGATGTTAAGTGACCACCGCAGCCCATGATCAACCGCAACACCAGGAGAATTGCAGGTACGTTGCCAGCCTTTTAAAAAGGACTAAGCTCTTTTCTTGAAGGTCTCCAGGTCGTATCGGTCCGGAAAAATCGCCGGTGGTAAACTATTCCACAGAGAGGTTGTACGCGGAAGAAAACTCCTAGTGAAATGTACAGTGGTGGACCGCCATGCATCCAGATGGTGTGTATGGTATCGGGAGTTTTGCCGCGTAGTGCGTTCATGAAATTTGGCGGCTGGGATTAATCCGAACAATTCCTCAGAGCACTCCCCGTGATAGATGCGATAAAATACGTAGTTATATAGTTGCAGCTTAGGCAACATGACGAATAATAGACACACAGGACATAAAAAGCCCTCCGTGAGTGCCACCACCTGCCAAATCGCCGCAGACGTGACGTAAGTGAAAGGCATCACCACCGATTGCATGGCCAGCACGGCTAATGGGGTCACATTGCTCGGCTTTCGGCTGCAGCCTTGGAGTCCCCTCAGATTCTCCCTGCAGCTACCACTCGCATGAGGTCAACACATATGCTCCATCTACCAATAAAACGGCAGATGTATCCAAATTGCAGTTATAAGATAATAATAATAATAATTCGTGATCAGAAAGGGTTTGTCCACTGACGTTTGAGTATATGCATTTTTCGATCATGTTTGTCAAACCCACCAACAAGTTGCTTTATATCATGGGAAATTTACAGAGTTATATTATTACGTTGTTATATAAAATATCATGAAGGTCAGACGGTCTGCAGCCCCGTAATGAAAGGAACCGATTTGGAAAAAGCTTCTTAGGTGTGAGTTAAACCAAGCGCAAAGAGTGCCATTGAGAATAACGATCCGTCAAACAACCATCGCAGAAACGCAATGCTGCCAAACGCAACAAACATCAATACTACTATCGTCGTGCTTACACTATCCCAATTCCCACCGTACAATCCCAGCATACATCACCACCCACGTACCTCCATCGACCAGAACCAAATAAATATAATAATTCTTTTCAAGTTTCATTTCTATTAATATAGTGCATTTACATATTTGACTTATTTTTAGACCTTACTATTGTATGTCTTTAATATCATAGAGACCTTCTATAATAATGCTTTTGTATCATAGACCTTACTGTCATAAGTCCCTAGTATAGGACTATACATTGTGCTGTTGCTACTCTACTACTACTACAACTACTACAGTAGTCAGCCACCTGACCACCCAAAAAGCAACCCACATGAACAACCTCTATCTTTCATGAACACGCTGCTATTAACTTGGAATTACTATTGTTTTGATCAATTGAAAAAAACTACGTCGATTCTTGTGAACCGCATCAAAATCGGTTGATTCGTTCGAGAGATATCGTTGTCGAAAGAAATCTCGTAAATGTGTTTTTCAAAACCTGAAAACTTTCCGTGAAATCAATTTTTTTTTGTAAAAGGCTTTTTTGTTAAGGTGAAAAAATTGCGTCGATTGTCGTAAATTACATCAAAATCAGTTGTTTTGTTCGTGAATTGTTCAATTTTGAATTTAAAAAAAAAAAAACTGGTTTTCCAAATTTATGACGTTTTTGAGCTCGAACACCTCAAAATGTCATAATAAATAGAATTTGGAGCACTTTGGCATTGAAACTAGCGGGAAGTTCCCGGCATGGCCTGCAGGTCAACCAATTTTTTACAAACAGGTCATCAAATTCAACTTAGGAAGATGGAGCATAAACTGAAAATAATGACAATTTCAGAACTAACTGTGTCTTATTTGTTACAGATGGGTAGTGGGCTTATGAGTGTAGAGGTGATAGTGTCCCGCGCAAGTGCATTAGCAAATCTTCTCGGCCGTCTGGTGTTGCCACATTATAAGCTTGCAATAACCACCGTCACTGGAATTCCTATGAAGGTAATTTTACGTCTACATATCATGGTATTAACCATAGCTACTCGCCAGAAATTCATGGTGGTACTGAAATAAAATTAAGCAAAACGCCAGCCGCCGTGCGTGATGGTATGCGGTTTTGCGTTTTCAGCAATTTCTCAACCGCTCGCGCTTAATCGCAGTTCGCAGTGCGTGCTAAGCCAAACTGCTTTGCATGCGCCGCCATACTATTACTACGGGACACATAAAACTCGCGCGCTTACAAACCGTAATCCAAATGTAGCAAGTTACGTTTTTAAAATCAGTCACTGAAAAAGTCGCTAATGCGTGCGCTTGTATAGAAAGCTATGTGCTACATTTTTTTTGCGGTTTCAGATGTGCGATTAAACACGTGCGCTTAATCGCAGTGCGTGCTAAGCCGAAGACATAAATACATGGTATTATAATGTAACTGGGTAAAAAAAAATATTTTATGTACTGCCAATGATATTCATCACATTACGTAAATTAACCTTTTTTAATAAATTTAAAATATCCAATTATATATTGATAAATTTAAAGGGCTTTTTATACGTGGTAGAGCCATGCTGCAGTTATATTAGTGGTATAGTTGTAGCGCGAATGGGTCGGCTCGACCGGGGAAGGACCACGCTCTCACAGAATACCAGCGTGAAATTAGTAGCTTAATGCTGCTGTGTTTCGTTTGGTGAGTGTAGAGAACCGGAGACCCTTTTTACTGGAAACGAGGCATTCCATCTTAGTCCTCACGGGGGACAACGCATCTGCATTTTGATTCGTAATCGAGGATGGATGTGGATGTCTATGGGCCGCAGCAACCACTTACCATCAGGTGGACTGTGTGCTCGTTTGTCACCCTATCCTATAAAAAAAAAGGGCTTCAGCAACTGTAGATGTCAACAAGTATTACAATGAATGCGATGATATTCTCGTGCCTGCCTATTTATTTCTACGATATTTATTGCTTTTCACTCTTTAGCCTTGTAATTGGTTTCACTTCATCCAAGACTCATCTATAGCCATGGATAGGGACTAAGAACAGGGATCGCTAAACATTTTACTATTGTATTTATTTTATGACAAACATATTTTTGTCAGGTTATTCTTATTTGAAGCTATGAACGTCAACGTGAAACATCTAGGTAGTGAATTGACGAACGGGAATTCTCCTCTGATATTTGTATTATTTAAAACTAGCTGTTCCCCGCAACTTCGTTCGCGTGAAATTTATTACAATTGAATTTCATGGATTTGAATTATTTGCGAAAGACCCCATTCTTTTTCTAAAATAAAAGTAAGACTGAGTTACTCCTTATAACATCAGCTATCTGCCAGTGAAAGTCCTAACAAAATTGGTTCAGCCATTTCGTAGATTAGCCGGAACAAACAGAAAAACAGACTCAAAACATTTTAAAATAGTTTTTTGTTATAAAAATATTTCATATAGCTGAGCCCCGCGGTTTCACCCGCGTATATCACGTGTTTGCGCCGCGAGACATGTCATGACACCTCGCTCATTTAGGTCAATAATTTTAGCTAAAAAGTTGGCAAAATTTATGTAGTACTTTTATCTATCGACATATGTATGTTATACAGCAAAGTTTAATTTTATCCACTCTCTCTGCCCCTCCTGGATGAACACTTCAGAAAGTGCCCCAAAACGTGGCTTTTTTCAGTTTTAAAGAAAAGTGAAAAGTGTGGAGGTACGAAACGATCCCTGAGGAATTTTCTATCAATCTTTTATGCATACGAAAGAACGAAATTTTAATAAACCTATTATTAAAATTTCCAACTTTATCGCCAAAATATGTATGACTAAAGTAAAGAATAGAATATGCTCTTTAAAAAGAGGTACAGATTATTTATTAACTATTATTTATTATTATTTCTTAATTCTTTCATTATGATAAAATCAATACTACGATACGACTGTAAACGACTTTTGTTTCGACAGGTGATCTAATTAAATTTTAGAACACAAAAGCTACTATTGTGACTTAATTATGATAGTTAGGTATATTCCTTACGCGGACTTTTTTGCAGGTAATAATGAGTACTTTAATCATGTAGCACATAATTTTTATGTATCATTTGTCAATAGCTTGCGCAGTGTATGCGATATAAGGATTTTTCGGCGTTACTATTGCATATATTAAAATGAAAAAGTCGTTATTGAACTGTAATAGTTAGACATATGGTATCGCGGACTTTTCTGTAGATATTTATATTTTCTATAAAATAGTTTCCGTAGCGTACGTGATATAAGGGTTTTTTTTTTTGGTATTTTTTTCGCACCGTGGGTTACATTAACGAAGTTTTCATGCGGATTCCTAACTTTTTTGAAAACATACTGTAGCCTATGTTCATCAGGGATAATGTAGGATTCCAATGATGAAAGAATTTTTTTAAATCGGTCCAGTAGTTTTGGAGCCTATTCAATTCAAACAAACAAATTTTTCCTCTTTGTAATATTGTTAGTGTAGACTAAGATTATTAAAGAAGAAATGATGTCCGTTCCTTGTTCCGTATCACATTGCAACGGATTGGTTGCATTTGAAAAAGTTTTTATTATCTTACAATTGATCCGGTACTGCAGGGGAGAAATACACAGCGAGCGCTTAGCTCGCTGTGTATTTCTTTATATTTCACAGTTCGCGAGCAACCCGGGTTCCATTCCCGTTGGTATCAATAAAATTGTAACTTGCAATATTAAGTGTTTTCTTTTTTACGTGCTCAGCAGTGAAGTAAAAATCCGTTAAGAAAGTTGCATGTCTAAGAATACACTAGAAATAAAATATAAAACGAGGAAGAATATATATCGCGGACTGTACAGTCCGCCCGCACGCACTAGAACAGCGCGGACTCATTGTTCCATAACAATTTCAGTCAAGAGAGAAGGCCCGTGGCCGTAACTTTACTTACTTTACATAATATATAAAATTTATTATAGGAAGAACAAAATGCCAGTTCCAGTGCAAACTATGACGTAGAAATAATACATGCGGCGGAGGCTCACGCGGGCTTAAGGGCCGCACAGACGGCGGCGGAAGCTTTAGAGTCTGTAAGTTTACATATTACTTCTGTTCAATATCAAAGCTGTATGAATATGTTCTCTTTCGATTAATATTGAATAATATAAAAATAGTGTTCATGCGATGAATGAATATCAAATGACTGAAGTGACATCTCTCCCAGATCTCTCTAAATTAACGCATCAACCTTGTTCCTCGTTTGGCGAATATATCTCGTTCCATTCCTACATTCTGTTTAAAGCAAACAAGCATTATATTTTTTGGTGTGACTGACGAAACTAAAAATTACGATGTGCAATTTTCGTTTATTAAGATTTTTTTTATTGAAATAGCTATATATCATCATCATCATCATTATCATTACAGCCTATTATAAGTTCACTGCTGAACATATACCTCCCCCAAAAGAATGTCATAGACATAGGTTTTATTAGCATCAATACACTCACAAAATATACATTTAAAAGTAAATAAGAACATAAAAACACACAAGACAAGGTACAAGACGGTAAACATAATTAAAAATAAGTGCCAAAAAGGATTCCGTCTCAGCATATGCTACCACAGCTACTGCAGCAGCGCTGATTTTCAGCGGAGCCCTGAATAGTATTAATTCGAATGCTACAAAGCACGGTCCTCACAGACCTGCATCCATTCGTGTTGTGTGATGTTCCATCATGTCAGTTCTTCTAGCCATATGGCTGGTCCATTGCTATTTCATTTTATTGATCTGTTGAGCAATATTATACAATATTATATAATAAAGTATATATGTATATATGTGTGATATAGAATAATTTATCATATTATAAATTTTTTTTTGGTATTTAATTTAACTTTCAATTGTTTACTTTTCTTTTGTTTCTACTGTAATAATGAAAACATGCATAATTCTCTTAGTGTTACCTGTATTACAACTCTGGGAGAGGCCGCTGATTCCTAAGATACAGACTCGTCTAGTTTGGGAGTTGGAAACTTCAAAAACTTTTGTGATTTATTTTTGTTGATAATAAAGAATTATTATTATTATTATAAAGTGGGAATGGCATTATTATTATTATTGTGTTCTGTTTTATATTGAATAGTAGTCTGCGAATTTGGTCCAGCCAGGCTGCAACTATTTTATTATATTAGCATGAATAGATTGGCTTCGTTAGGGAAGGACCATGCTCTCACAGAATATCACTGTAAAATAGCAGCTTAATGCTGTTGTGTTTCTAATGGTGAGTGTAAAGAACCGAAGGCCCTTTTTACTGCAAACACATTGATAGTCCACAGCGGTGTCAACGCATTTTGATTTTTTATCTAGGACGTAGAGGTCTATGCGTCACAGCGTTCACTTAACTTACGAGTGTTTATTTGTCAACCTAATTTCATTAAAAAAATGTCGATACGGGTGTACTCGTAATTAGTCCGCGTTGGGCAAGCAACACTCGGTGGGTTAGCGTGGGTTTTTTTATAGAATAAGGGTGACAAACGAGCACACAGTCCACCTGATGGTAAATAAATGTTATAGCTTATAGACATTTACATTTATCCCCGATTAAAAATCAAAATGGAACTATAATGGAATGTTTCGTTTCCAGTAAAAAGGGTCTCCGGTTCTCTACACTCACGATACGAAACACAGCAGCATTGAGCTACTATTTCACGCTGGTATTCTGTGAGAGCGTGGTTCTATCCCGGTCGAGACGAGCCATTCGTGGTTGCATGACGTGGCTGTAGCGCGGCCCTAGCCCGTGCAAGTGGTATAGGCTGGTGGTGGACGGCAGGTGGTGCTGCGCTGGTGGACACCGCGCGGCGCGGAGGGCGGCGCGGGCAGCTGCAGCGGGCCGCTGTGGCGCGTCACGCCCGCAGACGTGGCGTCGCGCCCCTCCGCCTGCCTCGTCAACTTCCTGCTCAACGGACGCTCCGTCACGCTCGAGGTGCCGCGGTCAGTTGTCACGTCGCTCGGCTACTGCTTTAGGCCGGCGGCACGTTACACGGCCGATATTCTAACGTGTCGTAAGGGAATCTGGACATATATTTTGAAAAATAAGAAATTTGCTGTATCAAACAGTCATTTCTTACATACCGCATGCTTGCCAACCAGAAATTTGATTCCGATTCAGAAATTTCCAGTTAGAAATTTGTCTTATATAGAAAAGGGCACTCTTCATACATTGTGTACTTCTAATGTGATGTGATGTTGGGGGTTCAGTTTGACAAAAATGATGAAATTATCATTAAAAGATTTAATTATGGAGATTGGAAAATCTTCATGCCTATGGAGTTTTGGTGATAAATATCATGTGAACACGCTAGTGATTATTACACTTTATTGTTGTACGCATCTATACAAATAAATAATACAATTGATTTCTATATATTAAAAGAACTGGCTTCTTTTAAGTTCAGATGGTTATTTGCATGCTATAATAATAATGTCCTCCAGACCGAATTTCGTTCCCGCCGTGACCGAAATTCCGATGGCTGAAACGATGCGCGGAGGCTAGGGCGCAGGATTATAGTGCCCAAGTGTATGCGCAAGCACAGCTGCACTCTTTATTCCCTCACTCTCAAATTCCGATTGGACGGTAAACCGACACAACTGGAGAGAGATCAGACGCAGGAGCAACGGCTTTACGTGCTTTCCGAGGCACGGGGGTGAGACACTGCCAACTTCTTGACTCCGGGCAGCTACTGAGAATGTCTTGACAGAAAACTCAACAATTAATTTTTTGGCCCGACCCGGGATTCGAACCCAGGACCTCATGATCAGCAGTCGCACTACTACAACCACTAGACCAAGGAGGCAGTCTTGCATGCTATAAAGTCATGAAAAAACATTTTTAAAATTTTGTTTTTCTGTCCGTCCGGGCTAATCTTGGAAATGGCTGAATCGAATGTAATGAGCGATTTCATTGCAAAGAGATCTACCTCTGAAATATAATTTCAGAATGTTTTTTTTTATTCTTCTTTACGGGCTGGTCGCTAATTTTTAATATTAAATTAAAATTCCTTTTTTTTTTAAAGCTTTTAATAATATAAAAATATGATCGTTATTATGACTATAAAAATAACGGAAGATATTGTTCGATTCTTGCCATTCATACCATACCATACGATTTCATCATTAGTCACACACGCATGATGGTATGGATGGTATAGATGCATATAGATGGTCGCCATAAAGCTCGCGATACAGTCCATACGATCTGGATGACTGGCTGTCCATCACTGCGCTGTGCGATTTAAAAGAAGTTTTCTTCCTCGTACAACTTCCTTGTGGAATCGACTACTACCAGAGATTTTTCCGGACCGATACGACTTAGGGACCTTCAAAAGGTCGGCAACGCATCTGCAACTCCCCTGGTGTTGCAGTTGTTCATGGGCGGCGGTAATCACCTACCATCACGGAAGCCGTATGCTCTTTTGCTCCCTCTTCTATAAAAAAACATAATTTTTATTAATACATTACAAAAGACGAATCGAAACTTTTAAGCTAGTTTTCAGGTGGGGTTGTATTTAAATATGTGCGTGTGTGCGCAGCAAGGGCGGCGGGCGGGCCGCGTCGCACGTGCTGGCGGCGCAGGGCGGCGAGCTGTGGATCGGCGCGCTGGGCGGCCGCGCGCCCTACGAGGACCCGCCCGCGCTCTCCGAGGGCGTCGGCGGCCGCGTCACCGACTACAGGCCAGTATACACTTATTATTAATGTAAAATATATAGTCCTCACCCAAAGGAATGCCACAAAACACGGTCACTAGTCACTTTAAATAAACTTTTTTTGCAAATAGTACCATCACGATGACGTCACAGTGTGAATTCGACCGACGGTGCGTACCATAGGTCCTGACGATACGCATAACCGAACGTCAGTTTGTAACGTTCAGTGCTCTCCTAAGCAATTAACTGGCCGGACTGGTACAGTCACAAACACGTACACGAAATGGATGCCTTTACAAATTGTTTAGTTGCTGCTTACTATGTACGTAAACGTATAAAGAACGGAAGACGTAGATATCACGTATACCCATGAAATTCGGAAACAAAGCTGTACAAACTTCTTCCGGTCTCACGGGTTATATATATCGTCAATGAAGTGACAATACCTCCTAAGTGTAGGAAGCTAATTTTTCACTGGGCAGAAAAAAACGATTCTTGGCAAACAATACATTCAGATTATCTATTAATTGTAAAGTATTGTTTATAATTTTACTTTTATTACTATTATTAAGATATATACCTAAATTTACGATTTCTTAGATTACCTCTGTCAGTTAAGAGGTATTGTTTTTAGTACCGACAAATTTATTTTGGGTTTTGTAGTTGACAGGTATTGGACGTAAAATAAATAACTGTAATGCAACAGTTATCATTTCATTAAAATAAACTATTTAACTAAATAACTAATAAGCCCGGTTAAAACTATTAGATGAAATTATTTCGAAAAATATTAAAAATGAGTTTACGAAATTCATAGTTTAATTTATTACACATTCTATTCAGGACTTTTAAAAGATTTTCGATTTACGCTTCTCATCTAATTATCTTTGAAATCTTATTTTGTTACGATTCATTTTGCTGTCTCCCACTTTTATATATCCTAAGTTTTCCTTACCATCCATTCCGAGTTTATATTGTTTTAACTTTTATTTTTGACGTTTTCTACCTTCATTTTAATCGCCAAAAAGACATTGAGATGGGGTAAATGAGTCTAGAATCGGCTTGATTTGATCATCATCACTAGGTGAAAATGATGTAGAAGAGTATTAGAGTAAACATTGGAATTATCTTCATTACACGAAGTGTTCTCAATAAGAATAGTACGTGTTAACAGATCTTGATTAGTAAAAGCAGCATCATTTGTACTGTATAGACAATGGGTGCGTTTGGCAGAAAAAAGCGCTAGCAAGCGCTTACAAGCGCTAAAATAGTTTTCGGCCAGGACACGATTGCTACTTCAGTAGCGCTGACACAATCCGCCATTTTGCTTATTTAATTTGTTTGTTTTGAAGTAGTTTATAAGTTCTGTATACATGTTATTAAAAATTCATGATTGGTAAGTTTTTAATATGAATACTTTACAAACATATATTTAAATTAGGTTAGGTTCCCCGGTTAAAACTAACATCGTGTCCTAGAGGAAAATAGCTACTTACGCTTTGACAGCACTTACCGCTTACGATCGCCATTTTGTTTACAAGCGCTTGCTAGCGCTTTTTTCTGCCAAACGCACCCATTAACTACGTCTGTGAGCTTCTTTTGAGGACAGTATTTGAAATGGGATAGAAGGTGGTAAGGAGAATTCGCGTTCTGTTATACGGTATGATGTTCTTATTTAATTAATGATATTTAAGATAGATAAGATAGATATAATCTGGGGCATTCTGTAAACAACAAAAACTCATTTGTCTGCATGATGTATCAGAAACTAAAACAATATAGTCAGTTCGCGTTAAGAAAACAGTGAGTCATCAGTGCAACTACAGGGTAAAGGTGTATTCACAGTGGAGTAAAAATTCTTTTTTTTTCAAACATTATTAAATTTAATGGAAACAAATTTTCTTAAAATTACTTAAATCACTAATCAGTATCGCTAGATTCTCCAGTTACATTAATTATGAAAGAATTTTGTTCTGCAAGTTCCATGATGTCATCCAAATTCCACATGGTATTTTCTTCGCGTACGTGGTCGCGTTTCACGTTATTATTAATGCTATTGCTTCATCTAAAAATTTGGCACCAACATAATTTTTTATTTGGGCCCAAACCAATTCAATTGGATTAAGTTTGCAATGGTAAGGCGGTAGGCGAAGAATTGTAATGCCATTACTTTTGGCAGTCTCATCTATTAAATATTTATTATATTGTGGGGCGATTTCGGCAACTTTCATTAATAATTCTTTTATCTTTATAAACATTGTAAATTACGCGTCTCTCTCCGCTATGGATTATTGATCCACTTTTATTCTTTCGAATAGGTGAGGTATTCATTTTCAAAATTTAATGTTGAACGAGTAACACGCAAAATACACAACCGTTTTGTTCGAAGACCTGACTTGAACTGGTCACTGTGAACTCGACTTTCTAATTTCTTGCATTTTAATTGGCTGGGGGCGTGGCCAGGCCGGCGGACAACGATGACTCACTATTTTCTTAACGCGAACGGACTATTATAGTATTAATAATAATTAAACGAACTGCTTTTCTTAATATTATGGTGAACTATGTGCTTAAAATTAATTAATTAATCGAAATAATGCCATTCATTTGTAACTAAAGATTCTATCTGGGATCTTGATTTTATGAAATGTTAACTGAAAAAAAAAACATTAAGGGAGGAATTCATGGAATAACTTCAAACACACTTCAACATGTATCGTTTTTATGTTAAGAAACCACTGTCTAAGTAAAATGATTCAATCAACCAAACACTGATGCGGGACACTACGGCTTTAGACAACTATTTATATCTAAGTAGGGGAGACTGGGGCTGGTTGTGACATTTTTTTTATAAAGTGTCGCAATTTTCTGTTTGTTTGATTGTTTTACCGGAATGTAGGTTTGTTTGAATAAGTAATTATTCGGGTTATTAATTTAAAAATAATTTTAGATACCATACTATTAGAAGTGACATAAATGAATTAATTCTGGGAAAAAAGGCGTGTAACTTTTAGCCCCGCGCCAGGAGCTGGTTGTTACACTATAAGGAGCAAAATGTTACAACAAAACCCAAATGTAATATAACACTTTTATTGAGAATAATGACAGTTTATAACAATTATTATGTATACAATGTCAAACTATATTTTCTATATAACAGTCTTTTGCCTCATTAAAATAAAAACATAGTAACTTCGTTGAACAAAATTATAATCTTATTTTTTAGACTTACGCCTTATAAAAATAAAATTTAGGTAACTTCCAACCGGCAGAAAATTATAAATTTCTTTATTAAACAAAAGCTTAGTATAAATTGAAGATGAACAAAAAATAAAAAATGAAATTACATTAGCAAAAAATAAAGAAGTCAAATATATCAGTCGGCAAGCAGCACTACGGGGTAGGTAGTAACAAGTAACAACCTGCCCCCAGCAAATGTCACTTTTAGCCCCAATGCCGAAACTGACCTTTTAAGGTTAAGTAGTAAAAACACAAATAAGTATAACTGTATAAACGTAAATTCGTTGCAATAAGAAAGGATTAGGGCACACATATCACAACACACATATCTGCTTTAAAGGAAAAGAGGTTTTAGACCAATATTACGAAAAAACGAAAATGTTACTAACATGCGGTTTTGACGGCAACATGTACGTGCTCCTCTCACAAAAGCCCTGGCGCCATAGGTTCGCGCGGCGTGCTAGCCGATGGTCGCGTGATTATTTGTATCTTTCTCACGACAATACAGCGTTCTTAGTTTAGCCACCTTTGCTGCTGTAACTACCTACCCCTGTCACTACCAACCCCAGTCTCCCTTAGGTAAATTCATAAGTTTGTCTACAATATTTATTAACAGGCAGAAAAGTGAAAGTGATAAAATTGTATTTAATTATGTTTGTCGCATTCTATCAAATATGTTTACCTCTTTCGCTGGTGAGTGTTGCAACTCATATTCACCCACTTGTAACTGGTATTTTATAGCGTATCTTTAAGATAAATATTCCCTCACTAAACGCGTCGAAATGCAGTCGCAAGAGCCGTAGTTAAGAGATATTTCTATAAAGTAATACAAAAACTACTACTTTTTGCTATTATTTTAGTAGCTATTTCCATGATCCTAATAATGTTAGGAAGTTAGGAAAACAACTGCCAATGCGAAATTGAACTTTCAGTGTATTGGAATAAATAAGTCAATTTTGGTAAAAATGTTATATTGGCACTTCATCGACGATATTTGAAATAAAAAAGATTGTCAACCCTAATATAGCTTCTTTTCACTCACACTTAAAATTTATATTGGCAGTAGCTCCAAAACGATTCTTCGCTGTATACTGTATAGTATAAGAAGATATTTTGTCATATTTAATCGCACGGAAAAAAACATCATGCACAATCTCTTTCTTGCGATAGTCGTGTCACGTAATAATAGCTCTTATGCTGCGTAATCCTATATTCCGCCTGTAGGGACAGTCAGCGTCAATAGCAAGATAGCAGTCAAGGTGATCAAATACTTAGAGACATCCAAAGTGATCAATTATATTTAACCGTCCAAAGTAGGCAAATTCTTGTGATCACCAATCTTGCTCAAATATATCGGAATATATACAACGTCAGATATATGGTTTCAGTCAAACCATCCTTAATACAGTAACAAACAAAACGTCAATGGTAGCGAAGCAGTTAAAATACTCAAAAATCCGAGACACAACAGGAAAAATAACTTTATCTTAATACAATTGGGTGTTATTTATTTTACAATAAGTTTTATAAAAAATATACATTATAAATTGTACTTAATATAAAATTATCAATGTTCCTTTTAATACTACTCAGTATATTACTTCGCTTGCTCTTATTTTATGCTTGACGTCATTGACATGTTTTGTTCAGATTATTTTTATAAAATCATTTATGATGTTAATGTGTTATAAATTATAATTGTTAGATTTCCCGTAAAGCTCTAAACATTTTATTACGATAATTGATTTGGTTTTTTTTTGGAACAACTATACAAGGAAATAAAAGGA